AGGGACCCCTCAATAATAATGAAGGGGTACAGCTGGTTAATTGTGGTACAAAGACGGTTGTTTTCTGGTTGTAGATTTTTCCGTGGGAAGCATTCAGACACACCTAAAAAAAATTTTTTAGTCAACCAACCTTAGATAAAAGCGCTTCTCCAATGCCTAGCAGTGAACTGAACCTGCTTGAATTCCTCTCCTCAATTATCAAGAGCATCAATAAAAAGAAAATACACTGCTCAAAAAAATAAAGGGAACCCAAGCAGAAGACATCCGAGATCTGAACGAATGAAATAGCCTTAATAAATACTTTGTTCGTTACATACAGTAGTTTTGAGTTCCCTTTAGTTGTTTGAGCAGTGTATAAACTACTGTATGGAAAGAAAAAAGTATTTAATAAGGCTATTTCATTCATTCAGAGCTCGGATGTCTTCTGCTTGTGTTCCCTTTATTTTTTTGAGCAGTATATATTGGAAAGGTCCCCTAATACTGCACGAGTCAAAAAGAGGGCTGTGAAAATATCTACAGACCCCTCGCATCCTGGACATAAACTGTTTCAACTCCTACCCTCAAAACGACACTATAGAGCACTGCACACCAGAACAACTAGACACAAGGAGTTTTTTCCCAAACACCATCACTCTGCTAAACAACTAATTCCCACAACACTGTCAAACTATTCACTAAGTCTGCACTACTATTAATCTTCTCATCGTTCCCACCATCCATTTCCTTCCACTTATGACTGTATGACTATAACCTTGTTGCTGGTATCCTTACGATTTATATTGATATTGTTTCCTGATTGCTTATTTGTAACCTATGACTATCATTAAGTGTTGTACTTTATGGTTCTTGATGAACGTATCTTTTTTTATGTACACTGAGAGCATATGCACTAAAGACAAATTCCTTGTGTGTCCAATCACACTTGGCCAATAAAAAAATCTAATCTAATCTATTCTATTCTATTCTATTCTATTCTATTCTATTCTATTCTATTCATTTTCTATATTCTATTCTATTC